TTGCTAAATTATAATTTAGTAAAACAAGACGTTGCTTTTGAATTGTGCTCGAAAAGAATAATTTAAAAAAAATAAAAAATTGTTCCGGACTAATCAGAGCTCTTTGCTGATGAGCAGTGGTCCAGAATACCTGTCAACAGGTGCAGAAGTCTGACTGAGAGCTACAGAAAACACCTGATTGGCTCAAAGGGTTGTTCAACGTAATATTAGTTTTTGGGTCCCATCATACTTTTTTTTTTTTTTTTTAAATATTTCTGTTAAACTACAATTCAAAGGCAACGTCATGATTTTAATTATAGTTTTATTCTTTATTACTTTTGTCAATTTCAGCTTATTTCAGTTTCAGCGGTTTTTTTCCTTCTTTAATGGGAGGCTATGAACACATCTGAGGATGACTGTACATTTATTTATTAATCAGGTATCTAGGCAGCTTATATCCATAAATAGAATAAAATTAGAATTAGAATAAAACTATTGATCCCTTCGATACAAGACCTCAGGGAAATTGCTAAATAAATAACCCTTTCATTCATTAAGTCACCTGAAATTAACTGTAAAAATCAAGCTTTGACAGTTACAACCAATCAGTCACAGAGCTCAAATATATGTCAAAAAATAAAACCGTGACTCATCAGAACAGGCTCAGCTGTCCTGTTATGATTCAGACTGCTGACTCATGCTTTGACATGAGGCGTATCAGCGGCTAAACAGCCCAGATTCACGGTGTCACCCCGGGTCTTCCTCACCTAAAGCCACGTTGTCCCTCTGGAGGTTCCTACAGCTGTCGATGTGTGTCCTGGGAATAACGAGGTAATGATGTGTGGCGCCGGGCGTCGTGTCACGGAAGCAGACCAGCTGATCATCCTGAACACAGACAAACAGGGAGAGTCAGGGATTATCCAGCTGCTGAACTTTTCCTCAATACGATTAAATAGTTTGTACTCACGCTCAGCAGGATTTCTGTGTCCGTCTGGTTGTTTACGATTTGACAGAAAGGACAGTCGTCGCTGTCAGAAGCGTCCTGAGTCTCCATCAGTGAGTTTAAAGTGTCTGAGACGGACCGAGCGGTGACATCATGTGGTCGGAGGATCGATAACAATGTCTGGGCGTGTCCGCGGAGAACAGGCAGGACGAACAGTCGAACACAGAGCGAGTCGATTAGAGCGAACTGGCAGATTGGCATAGACCGTAGCATTTAAAAATAAAAATAAAAATAAAAAATAATTAAAAAAAAATAATAATCATGGGCATTTAAAAAAATATCTGTGTAATTTTAGCTTAATATATTAAATATTTTTCTTCGTTTTTTTTTAAACTGCCTGTCCGCCCACTTTAAGCACTTTAGTCCTCACATGGAAATTCCAGGCTGTGTTTGAATGACAATATCTAAAGATAAAAGTCTGAAATTGTCACTTTTTTAAAATTTTATTTTTATTTTTATTTTTTTAGAAGGGGACAAGAAGATGAAATAGTTTCCGATTATCCGTGTGTTGAAATGTGAAATAAAATTGAAGCGATCCTGCCAAGTGCCACCATTGAGCTCAGTTTAATAAAGAAAAATGACAACGCAGAAGTCGACTAGTGATATTTTCCCAAATCACACCTAGTTTCATGTCACAGTAACACATAACAAAAATATTTAGAATATTTAAAAATCTGAACTACTTAGTCACACATTTTTTTGAAGTTATTTTAAAGCCACCAGAGGCTGTGTACACACCGTTATAAGTGTGTGATACCAGTTATACTGACAGACTGGGTCTCTAGGGGCTGGTCCAGACTGAACTCCTCCTCCTGGTTCCCGTAAAGAGTTCATGTCGGTGGATCCTCTTCTGTCTTCGATGTCATGAGACCATTCTGGCCATTAAACTGGTTTATCAGGTAACCCGCCGAATAACAGCTGAACGAGTCTCATTTTCTCCCCTGTGGTGTTTTTTTTTAATTCTGTCAGTAATCTGAGCCAAGCAGGTGAACTTCCTGCTCAGCTGTTTGGCTGCTGTGGTTGTTCCTGAGAAAACTTCTCTCTGCGCACAAATAGACGATCTTCGACGGGACGAGACATGTCGACGGACTGCATCTTCTGTCTGATCGCGAGCGGTGAAGACGAAGAGGCTGAGATCGTGAAGCAGGTGAGAAGCTCCTGAACACGTGTGATGTGTGACTGTTGGACAGACACCAGAGTTTATTCCAGTCGTAGACTAATAAACAACACAGATGCCACCAAACAGACCGTTAGTAAGCATTCAGGTTGTTCTCTGTGTTTCTATTTTGATTTTATTGTAGATTTGTTGTCTTTCATCAGCTGATTGTGGTCACACTTTTCCTTTCTCTGGGTGACAAAGTCTTATTCAGAAAGTGGTCACGTGACGCAATCGAAACTTAACACAACATTTATAATAACAAAACAGAAAACACAACCTTCCCCAATTCAGAAGAGGGAGGGAGCTTTTTGTGTTTAAAGGATTTAAAAAATAAAAATAAATTCCATCAGGGAAGAGAAGCAACACATGAGTAGAAGTTCAGCAGCTTTGAGGAAGTGATGAGAGCAGTAGTTTACTGGCAGTCAGGTGATGAATGACTTGAAGGTGAAGAAGGAAAACCCAATTCACAGAATGTCAAATGCAGGATGACAAAAATACCCACAGTAACCAGATGTCCTACTTTTACATCCGGTTAAATTTTACATTTTGTAAGTCAGCCTGCTCTTCTGAACTCATCTGCACAGTCACATCACACACTGGGATAGACTCCAGCCCCCCACCACCCTAGAGAGGGTGTATAGATGATGGATGGATGGATCGCAGCACTTTATCATCCGTTAGAGAAATTCAAGTCTACTGAACGATGAACAGGTGGACTAAGACAATACATTACAACTTATTGATCGTTCCCCCAAACTCAACATCTTCCACCGACCAGACTGGATTGAACCAAATCTAATCATTGGTTCTGGAACTGAAAAGTTTCCCGGCCCTTACTGCAGGACGGGTCGGTGGGAGTTTGGTGATGGAAGGAGACGGACGTCAGAAAAGGCAACACGGTGCTTTCAGTAGTAACAAAAAGGGAAGGACTCAGTTGGACAGAGCAGCCGCTGTGGCCTTCACACTACAGCCTCCATCATGTGTTTTTTTCACAAGAGCTTCGGTAGACAGCAACTCGTCTAAGAGGCTTCCTCAGTTCTACCTGACTGATGCAGAGTCCCTAATATGCTCAGTCACCGTTAGATTAACAGGCCTCCAGGTGGAACTGTTTGTGACACTGGCAGGTCAAGATGCTGACAGTAGTGACACTTGTTGGGCGCTACCTAAAGACTGCGTTTTCATCGATTCCTCTCCGTAGAGGGAGCTGACATTGACATTAGGATGGCAGCCTCGGCACTGCGCTCCCTGGGAATTTGTTTAATTTCTCTGCATCTGGTCTGAGTCCGTTAAGATACAGCAGAGAGGAGATGCTCAACATCAGAGAGTCCTCTATTCATATTTATTGTATTTTATTTTATTCTTTCCTTTCTGTAGTTGTTTTACTTTATTTTATTTTTTAAGTTTTCCTATTTCTATTATTCCTGCAAATTCCCAGGGCGACACCAACAGCCCAAACCAAATTCCTTGTATGCTGTGTACGTACTTGGCCATTAAAGCTGGTTCTGATTCTGATTCTACAGCTACCACACCTCTTAAACGAGCTACGCAGAGTTCCCAGCGGTGTTTTTCATTCTCTGACATTTCCGCCCACAGAACAAGGAGCTGGTGTGTTTCAAAGACATCTACCCTGCTGCTCCTCACCACTACCTGGTGGTGCCCAGACAGCACATATACAGCTGCTTCTCACTGCACAGAGGACACATCAGCCTGGGTCAGTTAAAACATTTCACCGTACATCCTGCCTTTTACTGCTACAGCTGTCATGTCACTGCAAATTGTCCTCTTAAATGCTTTCCGTTGCCGTTACCCATAATCACGGTCGGACACTGGTCGGAAACTTTTACTGCTACCATGACTACAAACTCTGGCTATGATTTACTGTTTTACTACTATTGTACTAAAAATCAATATGAAGCTGCTTCCACTTGTGCTTTGATGACTTTTTCAAATACAGATAATATGTTTGTAATATGTTTAATAGTTAAAAAAATGGCGGAAATGGGGAAAGCTGTGCTGCGCGAACAAGGGATCACTGATATGACGGTCGCAAGGTAGGTGGAGACTCTGTGTGTGTGTGTGTGTGTGTGTGTGTGTGTGTGTGTGTGTGGGCTACTGTTTTAGAGCCTCGACTTTTAGTTTGGCTGGTACCATCTCGGTCTTTTAAATGCCAAGTGAAGGTTAAATCTGACTGACACACACTCATATAGTCGTGGTGTATCAGTCACATGGTGCCCACCTACCAAAGCATACTTTGCTTTATCGTCTGTTTTAATCCAACATGAACCATAACTAACAATATGAACATCGTGCTGCATGGAAGGAGATTTGAAACGAACAACTGAGACCACAAACTTGTGAGGAAACCGTTCACTGAGGTGACAAATCAAGCGAGAAGTAAAGTCGTTTTCACACAGACTTCAGTGCAGTCCGACTTATTTTTGCAACCAGAGGAGTCGCCCCCTGCTGGCTGTTAGACAGAATGCAGGTTTAAGTCGATATCAGCGTCACTTTGCAGACGTGGAGGCTACGGCCGTCTTCTATGTACAGTCCATGATTCCATGAGATAAATCTGTTGGCAGGAGTCGGTTAGTTTAGCTTAGCGCAAGGAGTAGAGATCTGAAGAAACAGCAAGTCACCGACATCTGTCCAGCTGTACAGTGTCCTCTTTATGTTAACCGTCTGAACCCCGGGCGGTCTCTGGACGTTTGTTTGCTCCTGTTGCCTTTTTACTGACTGTAGTTCATTTTTCACTACATTATAAAGTCCTGCAACTCCACAGGAGGAGATTTGTTTGCATTACAAAAAGTAAAAAAAAATAAACCAGAATCAACATGTACAATATTTTTCCAAGTGCCCACAGGATTTATCAGTAAAAAAATGAGGCTACACATGTTCTAGATAGTTTTCTACCTACATTTGTGCAATCTCTTTACATCAACTCTAGAAAGATATTTCACCAAGCTGAATGCATCAACAACAGTTTGCTCCTCTGTGTGCTGTTTTTGAGCCGTGCTGCATTTATTTTATTGAGTGATATTTGGTGATATGCAGATTTTTTGTTTTCTACCGCAATTTATTTTTGGGAGAAAGTGTAGAATAAGGTGATTCTGAGAGTTGAAAATCTGATGAATAATTCCGTTATTACAGTTTCTGGTTGTGATCGATTGTGTTATTTAAAAAAAAATAAAAAATAAAAATAAAGGAAAGTGTCATTCAAACTCTTGTGCAACATCTGGTGTATAAAAACAGTTATTTGAAATATAGAAAGTTTGTGTTTCCTGTCTAGTGCGCTAATCAGCAAGCTGTGGCTTCACAGTTACAAAACAGAAAATTACATCAGTCCGCTTCTCCTCTAACCTCCAAGTTATGAGAACTATGATTGATTGAAGTCTGTGACACACTTTTGTGCTCAGAACTAATTTAAAGTGGTGTTGTCAGTTAAACTCGGTTGTTTGTTGAAGTGTTTCTTTCCTAAACCTGCTCTTTGACCTTGTTGTCTTTGTGCTGATCGTAGCATCGACTGTGTTTTCCTCCACAGGTTGGGGTTTCACCAGCCTCCTTACATATCGGTGGGCCACCTCCACCTCCACGTGATCGCCCCTGCCAGCCAGATCTCACCGTACATGTTGTATAAGTTCATCCCAGAGACCGAGTCTTTCATTACTGTGAGTGCTGACGACATCCTTCTGCTCCTCTGCTCACTAATAATATCATTGATCATCATTCTTTAGTATTCAGGTGATGTCGTCCCTGCCTGGATCAAAATATGTGCTTCTTTGCTGTGCACAAAACTGTCAGACCAATGCATTACAAGCATCACATATAAATATGAAGTAGATACAGTGACTTCAACCCGTGTTTTTCTTTGATCTTAGCAATATAAACGCCCGTTCTCTGCTCTGTCTGAGTCAGTGTTTTTTTCTCCTTGTAGGAAGAATCTCTACGGAGGGATCTACAGGTCAAGCATCATTGTTCAGAAAATTGTATGTGTCCCAGATTCCTCAACAGGACTTTAGTTGCAGCCGAGGCACAGACGTGTGATTTAGAACACAGCCAGATGTAGAGGAGTCGGATTGAGCTTTTCAAATGTTGTGCTCGAGTCAGGATCCTGCAGAAGCGGTATCTGTAAAGACGATTACAGAAAACGATTTGTGAAGTAAGAGATGTCGCTGCAGGCTACAGCTTAACACATGCACTATATTTATAATATATGTCTATTTTTATAGCGTGTGTTTTTGTGTGTGTGTAGATTTTTGTATGTATGCATGCGAGTGCATAGAAAAATGAGATAAACGACATTTTTATGGTTAGTAATATATAATAAGAAATCAGTGGATTGATTTCATTCAACATCACGATGATGTCAATAACTCTGTTTATCTTAAAATAAAGATTTTTTTTTTTGATAAGTTGTCTTCATCTGACTGATTGTGTAAAGAGGTGCACTGTGGCCTCCATGTCTTTGTATCCTAAAAATATACTGAGTTTAATGACGTTTTTGGGTCTCGTGTGTGATTTAGATTCTTCTGATTCATTGTTCCATAAGTTGACCCCTTTGACAGAAATGCAACGTTCCATTAATTTGGTTTTATGAGGATTTCGGTTCCCTTTAAGTTATACGTACTTCCCCTTTTTGCAAACCTGTTCTGGACATTGACTGGTAAGATTCTTGTGTGAGAATATGTTATATATATATTTAGACATAATTTGCAGAATACTATAATTTACTCTATCGTGAAATATAAACATTTTGAACTGAAGGAAAATGTCCAGGAAACGTCTGCAGCTCTGTCACCCTTGTGAGGATCCTGCTGCTGCAAGCTTGTAATGAACTCAGAGGAAAGATGAACAAACAACTGGCAGCAACAAGCGAAACATCAGCTCAGAGTGGTGGTTAGCATCGTCGCCTCGCAGCTAGAAGGTCGCCGGTTTGGGTCCCGGTGAGGACACCCGGGATCTTTCTGTGTGGAGTCTCCATGTTCTCCCCGTGCAGCGTGGGTTCTCTCCGGGTTCTCCAGCTTCCTCCCACAGTCCAGAAACATGTTGAGGTTAATTGGTGATTCTAAATTGTCTGTAGGTGTGAATGTGAGTGTGCTTGGTTGTCTGTCTCTAAGTGTAGCCCTGTGATAGACTGGTTACCTGTCCAGGTGAACCTGCCTTCACCCTGAGTCAGCTGGGATAGACTCCAGCCCCCCATGACCCTGGTGAGGATTAACCGGTGTATAAATAATGGATGGATACGAATCGGACCTTCAGTGTTTCTTCTAAATCCACCATCTTTGTGAGGACGACAACTTCCTTCCACCACATCAGCGTTTCTCACCAAAACTGAAGACGTAACCGAAGCGAGCAATCGTTCTATACGTATATATTTAACATTTATTTAGGTTTAAATGCAATAACAATACAATAAATAGATTCTTAGTGACATCACAGAACACAGTAGTTTTGGATTCACAAGAAATAATACTTGGGGAGCATTCACAGTTACAACACAGAACAGCTGGAGACGACAAAGCTCATTTTCACATGAAGCGATAACTGGCATTAGTGACGAGTATGGCGGGTATCATTCCCAGTGGTGTCAGACGTTTGCAGTGCCGCACATTCATGCACTACAAGCCTGTATGCAAGGATATCAATGAACATTTCTCTTCCGTGTTAGTAGATCTGAATGTTTAGTTAGTGGCGTATCAGAGTGCAAAAACAGATGATCCCTTTTCCATCCATTTTTTTTTTTTTTTTTAAACAGAGGTTGACCTGCGCTTCAACAGGCAGCTTCCCTCCCGCAGTAATAAAGATTAAACAACATTCAGTAACGATTTTACATCGAAGAAATGCTTAATTACAAAGGGCCACGACACAGCTTGGATTAATCCTGTAGTGCAAAGTGACATCATGTTGAACGTCTTGAACAACGATGACCACTAATAAAAAGAAGTGGAGGATAAAATGAGTCGGGGTGGGATGTGGGTTCAATACTGACACGAGTCAACTGAAGTATTTAGCACATTTCCATAAAAAAAACAGAACAGCAATCATAAAAAAAACCAACTGAACATTCTTTGTAAAAATAAAATGCAAAAATAAAAATCTAAAATACTTTAGAAAATATGAGGAGTTTAGGACAAATATGAAATTAAGACGAGCATATTTGGTCATACGTTTCCTGGTTCTGCCGTGTGGTTCTGGATTGTACGGGGAAGGAAAACGGACGTGAAGATGCAATGGGACTCATTCATTTCATCTAAAACTCACAGAAACAGGACGAGACAGCTTTTTGGGGGGAAGTGCTCCGGGGGGGGAGTGAACACCTCCGTTGTAAACAATTGCCCACGTTGACAGTTAATTTGATGGCGGAGACTCTAAAAATCATCTCTGGCAAGTTCCACTTTCCTTCAAGTTTCAAGTTCATCGTGACGTAAAAAAAGATATCATTCCAAATTTCTATACATTCCCGAAACATACAAATTACATCGACCCTCATTTTTTGCACAAACAAACCTACAGCATCGTGGGATTCTCGGACACAGACGTCGTTTTCTGCTCTTCTTTCTATAACAGCAACAGCTCCGTCTGCTGATTGGCTTCTTCTTCTGTCCTCGTAAGCTTGTGGTGGTAAGGCAGTCTGCATGCTGGGAAAGCTGGACGTGTCGTCGGATGTCTAAGGCAGCCAATGAACTGAGAGGAAACACATTTTCTTCCGTCTTTTAATGGTCGTCATAACCTTCCCGGCCGCCCTGCTGCCGTCTCGGCTCCGTCGGCCGACACGGTGAACAAAATCCACGGGCTGCTTCCGTCTCACAGATCATTTAGTGTCTTTAGTGGGTGGCGAGCCTCCAAGTGGTGCGTAATAGACTTGGGGGAGGTGGTTTAAGGTTTGGGTAGTGGACTGGACAGTGAACGTGGAAGCAGCTGGAGCGGACGAGGCTACTCGAAGGTCCAGACCTCCACACTGTGGATGCTGAAGTCCTGCTGCGAGGAGAGCGGCTGGTTGTTGAAGGTGGCACATTTGGTGGTGGTGCCTCGGTACAGCTCGGCGTCCAGCCACAGGCCCAGCTGACCGCTGCAGAGGAGGGAGGGAGCAGACACAGGAGGGCGGCGGTTAAAGGCAGCGAGGGTTGTTCATCAGCCAACCATCTGATGTCTAAAGTGGAACACTGCTGAGGTCATCGATCTGTTGGAGTCTGTCATTCAGACCTATTTCATTTAAGTTCCTTCATTCAGATATCGTCACTGAGACAGCTGAGGTACACACACACACACACACACACTACCAGCCAATCACAGCAAACAATACACCAAATTATGTGTAATTCATAATAACGCACTTCACCAAATCTGAACCGACAGCAGCTCATCAAAGTGTCCAAACAACTAACAGGAACGTTTACTTCTGATTTCTTAAACCATGAAAGTTCAGAACTCAGCCGCGACATAACATCACATGTACAGCCGTCCTCAGGTGTGTTCATAGCCTCGTGTTAAAGGAGGAACTAAACAGCTTCAGTCACTGGAATAAGCTGAAATTAACACAAGTAATAATAAATAAAAATGTAATGAAAATCATGACGTTGATTTTGAATTGTGGTTCAACAGAAATATATATAAAAGAAAAAAAAAAAGCATGATGGGACCTGTGAACTAATATTTAGTTGAACAACCCTTTGAGCCAATCAGATGTTTTCTGTAGCTCTCAGTCAGACTTGTGCACCTGTTGACAGGTGTTCTGATTTCACTGCTCATCAGCAAAGGGCTCTCATTTGTCCGGGACACTTTTGTTTGTTTTTTTAAATTATTCTTTTCAACCACAGTTCAAAAGCAACGTCTTATTTCACTAAATTATAATTTAGCAAATTTTTATTTATTATAATTTTTTTCAGTTTCTAGTTATTTGAGTGACTGTTGTGAGTTTTTCCTTTTCTTTAATGGGAGGGGACGACTGTACCTGTAGCTGATAAGCTCCCAGCTGCTGTTGGATCCTGATTGATCCTTTAATCGCGTCGAGGATGATTAATAAATACAATTAATTAATTATTGCTGTTGCTTCATGTGTAAACGCTCACAACCCTCTCTGTTGACGTCTGACGCTGCAGTGATTCGATAAATAAAAGCAAACAGTATGCTGACAACAACCTCCACCGTCTGTCTGTGTGCTAACCAGCCTGACGTGAGGACATGCACTCCTACTTCCTGCTGTTGCATCCTGGCCTGGACTGATCTGTGAGATGATTTACGATGATAAAAATTTAATGAAGTTACCGGAGCTGTAATTGTTCCGTTCGCGCAAATGCGGAGCTATCGCTATAGAAACGCACACATGAGTAACGGCGCTGTCTGATGCTGCAGGTGTTTATTCAACTCAGAGGAAACCGTCTGTAACAGCTGCAACTTCAGCTCAGGTTCATGTCTGGGGGAGCTGCCTTAATTGCCATAAACTTTTATTGTTATGCACGTTTCATTTTGTAGCCTGATAGATTTTAAACTGGAGAGCAAATTGAGTGAGAAAGTCGTGTTGATTATTCGTAGCTGTGTGAAGTGTCTCTGATGTTTTTGGTTGAATATTAAATCTCTTCACACAACTCACAGGCTGCTGCTCGTCCATCAGTTAATGTAATGCTCAGACTTTCGGTGATACTGAAACGTTGCCCGGTCTGACCTAACTGGTGTCACTTCCACAAAAAATACGACCGAGCATCGCGTACAGGCACGACGTGTTCCTCTGCTGTCACATTAAGAGAATCCACAGCAACACATGTGATTTCCAACACAGCTGGCAGCTCTACGTACCCTCCTCCTCCCATCTGTAGAGAATCAGTATTGCCTTTCACGAAGTAGGAATTGTCTCCTGTCCAGCGGTACACCTGAAAACACACAACACGTCATGTCTGATGCTGGCATTTGAGGAACAAAGTTAAACAGCTCTGTAGTGTGCTCAGCACAGACCTTGATTTCAGGGCAGAAGCTGTAGAGGAACGTCTCTCCGGTGCCGTAGCAGTGCTCGCTCACTCTGAAGGGATGAGTTGAAAACGCCCCGAATATCTGTGAGAGGAGGCAGATTCAAGACGTTACTTCCCGTGAACATGTAATCACAATAGACGGTAGTTAAACCTCCACGATCACCTTTAATATTACAGATGTTCTTAAATGATCCTGACGGTTTTACTACCGAGGATTTTTTGTTTCTACCACAAGATGTCGCCAAAGTCACAACTACGGTTTGTAAACACAGTTAAAACTGAAGGCTTCTTTGGAGGGTTTGAAACTGTCCCCCTTTGCAAGTATTTATGGTGCTTGTAATTTTAACATATAAATAATTAAAACTGAGGCAGTATTCAGACCCTGAGTGAAGAGACTTCCACCAGAACCGTGCACTTCTAACTACTGAAAAGGAAATACATGCACATATAACTACACACATGTGAATCTCAAGCAGGTCCTGTGTGTTTTCTGCTCCGGTCACATTGTTTTTCATTGTGGGCTCAGTTTTAATGTAAATTCCTGCATCTGCATGGAAACAGATCAACCATGGCGAGATGTGGAGAAACTCAAAATGTCTTCTGGGAGGTACAACTGAGCTATATTGTCAAAAATCATTCATCACAAAAAAACAACAACATGCACAACATTGTTAAGTCCCTACATGTGTTTCCAATTCTGGGGGAACAATTGTGGCTCTGGCTGTTTTATGACTTGAATCAGTTTCTGCACTTGTCTCCTCTATGTTCAGTGTAAACAGTTCAGCCTGCGGTTCTGACTTTTGGTTGCCGCAGAGACAATCTTAGTTTTTGCTGATGAGTGGAGAACTTATCGATAGTTACAGAATCTGGTTCGTGCACACAATTTATTTTTGGCAAATTCTTAAATGACACATGTTGAATAAAGTGGTTTTGATTAACCGGAAGTCACACGTGATTAGCTAAAGGAGTGTCGGAAAGTTGGAAATCCAGTTCTTCTTTGTATTTGTTTAGGTTCTGGTGCTGACAAATGGTGTCATTTTGGCTTTTTTTTTTTTTTTTTTTTTAAGACAACATATTTTTTGGGTTCTGGGGATTAAATGTTGAGCAAATCTATACATGAAAACCCCATCCCTCCATCCATCCATCCATCCATCCATCCATCCATCCCTCCATCCCTCCATCCCTCCATCCATCCATCCATCCATCCATCCATCCCAAGGGATCCCGAGGTGTTCCCAGGCCATCCCTCCAGCGGATTCTGGGTCTGCCCCGGGGTCTCCTCCCGGGTGGACGTGTTTGGACGACCTCCAGAGGAAGCCTCTCTAGAGGCATCCAAATCACATGTCCAAACCTCCTCAACTGGCTCAACTTCGAGCTCCCTCTGGATGTCCGAGCTCATAAACTCAACTCTGCCAGTGTTACTATGAGCTGTTTACAGACCACAACAGTGCCGTAATGTGGTAACCATCTACTGATAATACTGAATGCTATGTGACGATACGTCCTGGGAGTCAACGTGCATTTACATTTAGTGCATCCAGTCGGACTGTATCTACCTGGTTGTCCATGTCTTTGATGACCAGCAGCACAGGACTGTCCACATCCGCCAGGTTCCTGTACAGAGTCTTCAGACTGGTCCCATGTTTCACTGTGCTGTAGGCCAGTCTCCAGGGATAGCCCTGCACACGGGCAGGCAGGCGGCAGGCCAGCTGGAGAACAAACACATTGTGAACCACTGGACTGACCTGAATGTGAAATCGCTGTTTTTCACATTTGAACCACGTCCTTGTCAGTAGATGCTTTGACTTGTGTTGTTGGCAACCTGCTGCCTGTGAGCATATCTGGTAGTCACCTTCTCGATGTGCGTGTCCTGCAGCAGATCACTCGTGTCGCTGAGCATGGGCAGCGCATCCACAGACAAGTCTCCGTCACAGCTGCCGAAACTCTGCCGACGCTTCGCCTCATCAATGGTGATGATCTGAAGCACAACAGGCACATAGGCGATGAAAAGAGAAACCAGTGACACACAGACTCCACTGGCTGTGAAGAACACATTTGACGACACAATCAGGGCTTGAAGGATGTTGCGGCAAATGAAAATGTCACCCTTCAGCCAAATAATTGGGAATTCAGATCTTCAGCCTTGCAGACTGAATTCTGATTTGAATTTTGGATTTCTAAGGGCATTTCCTATCAAGGTTTGATGACAACAATGTACTTTAGTCAAGTTGTACAAAACAAAAAATCAACATATCCTGAAAATATCCCTCTTGATCACTGTTAACTGGTTTCTCATGGTTCTGACTGTTCTGTTCTGTTGTGTTCTGGGTGTCCATCAGTCCTTTTCAGAGCATCCTAAAGGAGTGTTTTCATGGAGAGACTGCGTAGCTGGAAAAGGTTCAGGAGAGAGATCAGGGAGGAAAACGTGACGCTGAAACCTGAGACGTCATCAGCGATAATGCAAAGAGACTTTCAGTTTCTAAAAGAATTGAAGCACTGCAACGGAAACAGCTGCAGAGAACCCGTCCAGATCATCTCCCAGGATTTAAAACAGCCACTGTTAATGCACATATTTAAATAGGAAAGATGTGGAGCTTGACCTGGATCTCTTTCCTATTACACCGTCCTGTACTAACACACATCAGACAAAAAAATCAATAGTTTTTATAAAGCATGGCAGCCTTTTGCACAGGATATGGTGCTGATGACTATATTTTGCTTAAATCAGTGAAGGGACGACATATAAATGGATTTAAACATTTAAAAATTGTCGTGACCAGCTTTGAGTTCTGGATTTCAAAGCTGTTTAAACTAAGCACAATGAGACTAAAGTTATTTACAAAAAAGTTTATTTAAAAATGTCAAGGGACGGGTCGCTGTTTAGCTCACCTGGTTGAGCTGGCCAACCATGTACAGGAGCTAAAGTCATCGATGCAGCGGCCATGGGTTTGAATCCCGCTCATGGCCCTTTGCTGCAACCCATCCCCACCCATTCTCCTCCCCCACTTTCCTGTCTCTCTTCTAACTGTCCTATCTAATAAAGGCAAAAAGGCCAAAAAAACAACTTGTGTACTAGTGTGCTAACTTAATAAGCAAAGTATTATTTATGGCTGCATTAGACGTGTAAGGAAACACACCACTGTAGTGTTTACGTTCAGGTACAAACAATTTGGCAACTTCCCTGAGGCTTTGTACCAAAGGGATCAATAAAGTTTTATTCTAATTCTAATTCTAAACAGAACAAGGGGAGCCGGGGTGTGGACTACAGGGTTCCCTGCTGAGCTCACCTCCCAGCTGCACGACGCCGGGTCGCTGAAGAAGTTATCGATCATGTCCAACTCGTCTTTCTCCACCACTACGAAGCCCTGCTCCCGAGCCTCCTTCCCGTACACGTCCGGAGACCACTGGACGAAGAAGGCGTAGAGATCGTTCACCCTGGAGGACACACGGTGTGTTAGTGCACTGCTGACTCACACTCACGTCTCACTTTAGGACCAAACCAACAGGAAACTGACGGACTTCTTCTCCTCCCACAGCTTATATAATGTTTGCATCCTACACTCCCACTGAACCCCAAATCCTGCCGGCAGATTTAAAAAGTATGTTATCAGTTTGTTTTTTTTTAAATCACCACAATGACACCATCTATCAGAGCCACAACCTGTAATAACAGAAAAAAACGGATTATCGACCGTCTTGACTTGTCATGTGTGACTTTCAGTTAAACAAAATCCCTTTCTTCTACATGTCATTTAAAAATAAACTGTGTGCACAAACCACTGACCAAAAACAGAGAGAACCTTTGGATTCTCAACTTTTTGATGGTCCTTGAACTACTCATTCCAATGAAACTCTTAACCCTCCAACCTAAGCTTAAACCAAGATATTTAATCAAAATCACTTTATTCTAAATTTCCCATTCCAAATTATTGTCTTCTCTCACTAAATTCTGTAAAAAATAAAACAAAACTACAAATTTTATGGAACTTTATGCAACTGGGAAGTCATTAGTCACTCAACTGTCAAAAAAAAAACCAGCCACAAGACAAAAATTCAGGGACTGTTTGACGGCGCTACAAACCATGTTTACATGAAGCTGATTTGTATGGAAACAAATTATAAATTTAAAAAAAATAGATTTATATTATGTAGAGTCACAGTTTTCTACCCGATGCTGGTAACTCCTGTGGCCACTTGAACAATGTTGGACATGTCGATTCCAGTGTTCATTTTTCCTTCATTTTTCGGAAATAAACATGCTTAACTTCAGTTTTTTTTCTTTTTATTTAGGATTTTTGGCCTTTTAACTTCATCAAATGAGCACTTTGAGTCCTCTCTACTTCTAGCCATGGATGTTTTGTTTCCGTACAGGTGCAGGACTTCATATTGCAGTGAAAAACAACCTAAAAACGTCAGATTCAGACGGTTAAACTGCAACCACACACACAAACGAAGTCATATCTAACATTATGTGTGTATATGAATTACCTTTCCTGCGGCACAGCAAACCAATACTCTGGCTGCTTCCCTCGGCTCCCAAACGAGTGGGCGGGACTCGAGGTCATGCCGGTGGCAAAGGACTTCCTCATGGGCTTTCCCACCTTGAAGCAGAGGAACATGGGAGGGTTTTTGCTCTTCTCCTCTGATGAGAACAGCATGTCTGCACAGAATGAATTTAAGCAAAGATTAGTTTATAGTACAGTGTTGTCTTAGCCTCATCAGTGCTGCCTGGAAGTTGCGAAAGTCTGATATTGAACATCATACCCTTTAAGAAGCGATTAACAGATTCATTTTAAAGTTCATGTGCAGCACCAGTGATTGTGAGCATCTCCTCTTGAATTCAGTGTTTAGTTCAGAACGTGTACCTTCTATTGGAGTCTGCATCCTCTCCAGCAGCCAGGACTTCATCTCTGCCTCGTAGTTTTTCTTCTGCCTCTCCTCCTCGCTGAGTTCTTCCCCCTCTGCTGGTGTGTCTGGGCTTTGTCTCTTCGGACTACACCTCCCACGAACCTCTGAAGCCTCCTTCAGGCTCGACTCCCTGTTTTGGTCCTCTGGCGCACCGATTAGTTCATCTTCTACACTATTTAGCAGCTCGTCGGTTCCTTTAGATTTGATATCTTTGGTCTCGGTTGCCTCTTGGCTTTTAGGCTTATCATGCAAGTTACCCTGTTTTTCAGTCTCTGAGGAGGACTGTATCGACTCTCCGTCCTCGATGGAGCTGTTCTGAGCTACGCCTTCGTCCTCTTCATCGTCCAGCTTCCCTTCGGATTGGCTGAGCATTAACTTGTCCTGAAAGTCTCCCCGGCCCGGACAGCTCGGTCCGAGGAGTTCACGTTGGTCCCTGTTGGGGGCGCTGGGTGTTTTGGAGGACGACCCCTCTGCCTCCTCCGTGCTGCTGTTGACAGTCGGCTCCAGGTCGGTAAATCCTTCATCTGAGGGAGATTTCTCAGTAGGATCGCCCTCCGTACTCACTGGGGTGAGGAAGAGATTTCATTTAAGCTCAACACATCATATTATAGGATCTGTATTCGATTATATTGTCGATTTGTTATTAAAATGTCAGGAAATAGGGAAAAATCACAATTTTACTACGTTATAAGTAACTGTCAGTAAATCAATACTGGTAATTATATCCACATACTAATAAATGACTGACAATTAATCAATAATAGAGACATTAAGCTAAATATGTGGTCATAGGATTGAATTTGAGAATTGTCAAGCCACTTTCCTTCACTAACTGGTTGGCTGTTTCTGCTGGTTGTGGATAGTAAACTAAAATTTAAAGACTAGGGCTGCATTCCAAATCACACACTTGTTCTTTTTCTCTATAAGTAGCTGCCCTCACAGAATAGAAGCTGCTTCATGCAGCATAAATACAACTTTATCAGAATACTGCCATTTGGAATACACCCACACAGATGCGACTGGTTTCAGCTGACGCTCTTCTAACTGTGGCTGCTGGGTGGCAGCAGAGTGCAGGAGACCTGCTGAAAGGTTTTTATGACAACACACCATCACACTGCAATGTGGGTTGGGGGCGCTGTTCATAGTTCTGCTCAGTGACTGCACGGTAAGGGAAACGACTGCAGAAGCAACCTAATGTGTAAGAACTTCGCTGAAAACTTTAGTCAAGATATGAGGTGTCCTTGGTATGTTTGTGGTGAATGAAAGCCTTCTTCATACGAGGTGTGTCAGAAAAGTTCCAGGACTGGTGTCACAAAAGATATATCTCAAACCCAAACTACCAGTTTTCCCCTCCAGACGATCAACCGGCACAAAGAGATCCTGCAGCGTTTGCTTCGTTCAGAAGAGGCAGAGTTGTGTCAGGACCAGTGGAGGCTGCTTCACCATGACAACCTGCTCACAACGCCCTGAACATCCCACAGCTCCTGGCTGAGAAGAACATCTCTGTGCTGGAGCAACCTCCCTACTCACCCCACCTGGCTCTGTGGGATTGTTTCCTCTTCCCCAAGCTGAAGGGGGTCATCAAGGGGACCCGTTTAGCAGACGTGGACGACATCAAGATGGCTGAGACGACGGAGCTGAGAGGATCCTGAAGAATCCTTCCAGGAGTGCATGGCGGTGTGAAGAGAAGGCTGGAGAAGTGTGTTAGACTCCAGGGGGATTACTTGGAAGGGGAACACTGGTAGTTTGGGTTTGGAACATATCTTTTGTGACACCAGTCCTGGAACTTTTCTGATGCACCTCGTATTCTTTTAAAATGTTGCTTCATCCAAATTGCGAAAAGGTGAGCTCCAAAAAGCGTGCAAATAGGAAGCATCAAGAATAATCTGACTTCTAGCCCAAAGTGGACAGATTTATTTTGAGACAACTGAAATTTCACCAACACAACGGAGTTAAATTTAGTTTTTCAGCTGAACAAAATGACATTTAGAGAATTAAAACATCATGTCTAAAAATATCTCTTTCTAGAAACAGTCGTTGGTTCATAAACTGTTGAGGTTCGTTATATCACACTCAGTATGTGCTAAGCTGGTCGACGTGCTGAGCATCATCGTTTGCCTCGTTAGATTCATTCACATCTCATTCCTGAAGTTAAAAAAAATTAGTCTGTCCAAGGAGACTTCTACGTAGACGTGAACTTGACGCCGCTTCTGTTTTCACAAACCAAATTTAGTATGATTTAAAATCCCATTTTTAGCAAACAGTTGTGTGAATGTTTTCTTTCTGTATTTTACAAATGATCTTTGCAAAATGAAGAATTTAAGGTAAAAAAAGGGGAGGAACTACTGATAAACGGAGTAGGAGGCCAACTCACAACCCAGGCATTGCTAAGAACGCCTCCTAACCGACTCAACTAAACAGCCATGTCAGTGTGTTGTTGTTTTTTTATATATAAACGGGTTGAAACATTCATTATGACCTTACGGCTGGAATGTGTAACTACACTGCACAGGTCTGGCTGCTCCTCTGAGATACATTATTTGAACTATTTCTTCCTCTTTCGCTGCCACGGCAGCATCAAAGCCGTCGTACCGCAGTAATCGCATCACTTGAAACCAGCGACATCTGTGATCCAGAAACACTGCTGCTACTTACGGAAGACAATCCTCAGCGTCTGTCTTACCAGTTTCAGAGAGGGTTGATTCAATGTCATCCAAAACTATCGGTCGTTTGGGATCCAGAGCTTCATAGCGGCTGAAGGGGTTTAACTCCCGCTCGGACGGCAGCTGCTCCCACTCGCCGGGCCTGTAGACAGGACACAGATCCTGGGGTAGGTCTCTGTGAGGGCACGGGGTGGGGGGGCATCACACATACCGCAAAGGAGGATGGGAAAAAAAGAACAGAACAGAAAAAAAAAAAGAAAATGTCCAACAGAAATTAAAATGAGACACAACTGAAGAACAAAACAACAAATGTCACGTGAAACAGCAACTTAACCTCAAATAAAACAAACACAAAAATGAACAAAAAGCTTAAATAAAAGAAAAAACTCATTTAAGAGGATTTTTCCTGACTCAGCACAAACAACGGCGTTCCACGGAAACGACAAACCAGTGAATGTGGTAAGAAACGGATGTCAAAAGTTCAAGCGGTTGTAAGAAATTTTCTTTTTTTTCGGAAGTAAAATGGAAACTGCAAATGAGGAACAAGAAAGGAGGAATAAGACTTGAGGTCTTGAAGAACGGTTAGAACAGTGGGAAATGTGGCGGTTAGGAGCTCTTACGATGGGAGAGCGTCTTTGAGCTTCATTCGCGACACGTCGTCGTACAGTGCGACGGAGACGACCTCCTCCATGGGGCAGATGAGGCCGTACTCCTCGCAGCCGTGCTCGATCACCAGGGGGTCCGACTTGTGCGGGTCGAACATGATGTTGTTGGGCGTCACGATCAGCACGCCTCCAACCACGCCCTGCAACGGCGCAACAACACACAGGGGGGATTATGGGACTCTATGGAGGACTGAAGACATAAAATACGAGTGGCACCTGATGGACAGAACTTCCATCCATCCATTATCTATACACCTTAATCCTCACTAGGGTCATGGCCGGCTGGAGTCTATCCCAGGGTGAAGGCAGGTTCACCTGGACAGGTAACCAGTCTATCACAGGGCTACACTTAGAGACAGACAACCAAGCACACTCACATTCACACCTACAGACAATTTAGAACCACCAATTAACCTCAACATGTTTCTGGACTGTCGGAGAAAGCCATAGAACCCGGAGAGAACATGGAGAAAGATCCTGGGTGTCCTCACCGGGACGCGAACCTTCTAGCTGCGAGGCGACGATGCTAACCACCGAGCCACCTTGCAGCCCCTGCTAGAAGTCCTAATCGCATAAAATATAAATATGCATAGAGATAAAGTTATACATATTTGGGATATTTTACCTTTTTAGAAAAGGTTTTTAACCGTCCCAGAGGCCCGGCTGAAAACAAAAGGGGACGAAGCATTTTCAGTTCTTGATTTTATCTAAGTTTTATGTTTTATAGCTTCTTGCTCTGTTTGTGCGCTTTCTATTTTTCTCAATTATGCTGCGTGCTTAATTTTACATTTTAATTTATTTTTGTTGGAAAGCACTTTGTAACATTTGTTTTGAAAAGTGCTATATAAATAAAGTTTATTATTAATATTATTATTAAAATACCAAGTTCTTTCTAAGATGAAAAAAGCCAGCTGACCCATTTTCACATCACAACACAGCTGGAACTTCATTAAGCTTCATCACAGCTGGATTTTGTTTTGTTGTAAAGGTCTGATCAGTTCAGTAAAGCCAAAATATTTTACTGTCATATCAGGAATTTATTTGTTAGAACCTTTTGTGAGATTCTCAAGTTTTAAAGGAGGATATTTGTGACAAATTATTGTGTTTACGGAGGGAGAAGTCATTTAAATATTTACCAAAATACAGCCACGAGTAGCCGAGCAACAATGAAAACACATTTTATTGTCCCGTAAGTGGCTCCAGTTTGATATATTATCACTAAACATAGACAGAATTATCAGTGTTGGAATCACAAATAAACCAAGTTTCCATCTTAAAATCCACCACAGCGTATTTTGACCAGCGCTCACTCCAATAACTAAAATGTTAACTGCACTTGTGTTAATCTATACACATCAGAAAATTAGTAACATTACCTGTAAAATATAAGAAATCAAGGTGTATCATCTTGAGATCTTTTAACGCTCACGCCAACATATTTTCCAACCTACTTCTAAACTACAACAGCACAACAGAATTCCTGATATTCAGTTATAGCTTTTGGTTTTTAGTGGCATCCCAAAATTTTCTCCGTCCAGCCACCCTGATCAGACGCCCCTGCAGGTGCATCTCTGTTTCCTACCATGCCATCGGTGAAGTATTTGCAGCTCATCTTAATGAATTTAACCGTTGCCGGGCTCTCGTCCTCGGAGTTTGGTGAGCACTCACGCCGGATGGACTTGGCTGACCTGCAGTTTGGAATGACATCCTGACAGACACGGAAAAGGACAAATCAGACACCTGAATGCTTGTTTTAAAGACGGGTTCAGAGACTTTAGGCCACCAGAGCAAAACATCGTCATCCACTTCCTAAACACCATGGGAGTGAGACAATTACTCTTTCATTTGTTAGCGTATTGCTTGTAGATTAAATGACTCTTTGATTAAATGACTCTTTGCACTCCCTTTACATTCAGATCACTGGTGGAAACATTTTCCAACACCTTTACATGGTGGTTTCACATACTTCAAGAAGTATAATTCAGGCAAGCACCCCAAAATAAAACCAACAATAGGAGCAGAGGTGGGATATATTTAAGATTATAGGATTCAAACCAACATAAACAAAAAACTGTTGGTGCAATACAGCATGTGTCTTAAGGACAAGACCACCAGGACATCCGTCAAATGAAAAGTTCATTTGCAAAAACAGAGACCTCCATCTTCACAAACCTTCAGAAAACCAACTGCTCCACCATCTACCTGAGACAACATCAATCAAACTTAGTTATCTCTATTGTTGTCATTTCTACTGAGTCAAATCCACTCAGCTTCAGTTTGACTGATGTTATCTCAAGTAAACAACACAATAAGTTTTCTGAAAATCTACAAAAATGGAGTTATCTGTTTTTGTCTTCATATAATCTTTGCAGCCTTTTTAAAATATCAGTATCGAAATGGCGACTATAAACTCAACTACGAGGCTCCAAATGCTTTCAGCGACACAACAAATCTCTTTTTACTTACATGTGCTGACTTGTCAGACAAGCCATTAGTGAAGGAGGGCTCAGAGGAGCTCGGAGACTTTAGCTCGGCTTCTGATTGGCTCATATCAGGGACAAAAAGCTTCTGTAATAACAACGGACGGCCAAAAGTCAGCTAATCAATAACAGCAGAGAGTGAAGCAGCATTCTGTGGTGCTATCAGTGTCCTCACCTGACCGGTGTAGACGCTGCGAGAGAACAGCTTGTTCAGCTGAACCAGTTTGTTTGGGGTGATGTTGAACTTGAGCGCGATGCTGTTGAGGGAATCATCAGGTCCGACCTGTAACGAGACATCAGCTCCTCTGAGAAACGCGTCATTTCAAAAGCACACAGGTGGAAGCGGTACACGAAGCATTCTACAAGTTTTCTGTTAGTAACACCTCAGTATATGTTTTAAAGAGTAACTTGCAGGTTGAATGTCTGTGAAGGTTCTCAGTCATCCAGGTCGTGGTACTTTAATCGTAGCAGCTGGACTTGCTTGAGTTCCTTGAAGACGTTCCACCTCTCATCCAAGAGGCTTCATCAGGTCTGACTGACTAGATGGAAGTTCCAGATACTGATATCCTAAAGGAGCCATTAACACCTGAGTTTCGGATACAATTGGAGGTTTGTTGCTCCTCCAATTCCTTTCAGTAATTTCCCAGACTGGGATAAATAAAGTATTTTTCTATTCTTCTATTCTATTCTCCCCCTCGTTATGCGAGTCATTAGCGCTCCCAACTCGTCAGTCAGAACTGATGAAGCCTCTGGGATGAGAGGTGGAACGTCATCAAGGAACTCAAGCAGGTCCAGCTGCTACGATTAATCTACGAGATTTGCAGGTTGAATCTACACTTGATATTTTCTGTAAACAACTGTCTGACAATGGAGATATTAGTACATTTTATGAGACATACAAGGCGTTTTTTTTGAGCAACGCTCTTAAGATGTGTTTCATCACAGACAGGAGTCACCTCTGCCTCAGTGCACTGTGCAACAGTCGGTGGGAGTGAGTCTCAACAGCTGTGACTTGTTCCTGGCGTTTCGTAAATTTCCATCACAGTGAGTTATTTTGTTGGTTCAGCCTGAAAACGCTCAAGTCCACATACTTCAATTTTATTTTATTTATTTAGCGCAAATTCACAACACGTCATCTCACAGTGCTTAGCATAGTCAGGTGATGACCTTACCCATTTCCCAACTATAGACAGTTTCCTAACTAGCTGGAGTTAGCGCTCAGAGGGTTTTGTGCAGGTGAAGAGACGTCACAATGAAAAATGTGGTCTTCTGCGGTGCTCATTTTAGACGGCAGGATTCCAAGAGTTCACGGAGATGAGATAAAGTTATGGATGGGATGTCTACACCAGGGGAGACTGATGGCTGGTTTGGTTCCTGCGGTGCACGCAACCGCAGTTCCACCATCAGCTGCAGCTTCTGGTACCGAGATTCAGCTCAGTGAAAACACAAACTGTGCAAACTGTGTGTTTTATTTTTTATTCTTATTCATCTTTTATTATTGTTTCGGTGTGGAACAGGTACACAAAGCATTTCACTGCGCATTATATGATGTATAACTGCATTTGTGACCAATAAAGGCCTTGAATCTTGAATCAATGTAAGACATTTGTTTGCAAATTTCTGAACTAGTCAGCTCTGTCCCACCTCTCCGTCTCTCCTCATGTGGCGCCATGAAACATAGCTTCAATTTAAGTTAGACAGGCCAGATATGACTGACAGCAGCTGATCCTCTAAATGTTATTATAGTGCACATATGGATATAAAAATGTTTTAAAATCTAGTTTCTACATCATGTTTGTACACACTAACTCACTTACCACGAAGCTATAGTCTTCCATACAACACAATTTCGACATATTCAGTGTCAAAGCTACTGTAAGGATCCATCTTCCAGCAGCTTGGCTACTCCCCCGTTTGTGATTGTTTTTTGAGGCCGGTAGAAAAAACTCGTAACAAAAACTAACTAAATGTTATTTAGCCGCATACTAATGTTTTTTTTTTGAGACTCTAGTCCTCATTTCCCTCCACATTAATTCACCTTAGTCATCCACCTGCAAGTTGCTCCCTACAGGCGCCATCAGTGTTGCGTTACTCACGGTGAACTCCGACGTCCCCGGTGGCCTCTTCTTCTCCATCTTTGGCTGATTGTTGCTTTTACAGCCATCGTCTGTGAAAGTAACAGAAGAAAGGATTTCAGACTGAGGACACCTGCAAAATAACAGCCATTACTTCAAGGGGAAAAAAAAACCCAACAAAGCCAATTCTTATCAGGGATAAATGAAAGGTTTAATTCTGTCCTTCTCATAAACTAAGAAATGAAAACACCATCCACTGAGGGCAGCACAAAGACATTCCCCGACCGTCTACATGTCCCGTGTTTACTCGCCTTGTGATTCAGTACCACTTGTGTGTCCCCTGTCATTATCCAGCCTTAAAACGCTGCACATGCTGAAACACTTATTGTAAATACACACAATCTGACCCTTGTAGTAGACCAGGCCCACAGTCAGCATTTTCTTCTTGCCAGGAACACAGAAGCTATTAGTGCGCCACTCCCCGACTGCCTCATTATGCTGCTGCCCCCTCCGTGGAAACACTGGGGATGACTAAGCATCAGACATCCAGACTCCAGCTGTGTCTGCTCTTTACTGGACCGAGCATCAAAGACAAGAGCGCTGTCACTTTTCTGAACTACTGTACCGTATTTATTGAGTTTGTGCCAGGCTGTGAGTGATAATACGGCGTGTAGGATGTAGTCTTTCAGCTGATAAAAATGTGTTGTTTTACCTGCATAACATCATAGTAGGTGTTGAAGAAAGAACACTATTGTTTGCATCCCATGGCGGCAGAGTTTACACAGCTGGCTGACCCACTGCACTTGTGACAGGAGTCTATTATCACTGTCAATAACGCTGTGTTTGGCGACGGGATGCAGGATTTGTGCTGATTAAAGCCGTACATCAATAGAACACTTGTAACAGTGACTTGTTTTGTAGGTTAGATTAGGTTCATTGCAAATACGAAGCTACAGATATGCTTTACAAATACAGCTAGAGTGCAATGATGTTGGTCAGTCTTAATGCAAGTAAAGCGGGTATAGCCAATAGTACAACCTGCAATCTAGCTGAATTTAAGCTACTCAACCATTTTAGCCATTTTCTGCTACTTAAAAGGCTTGATTTCACATTTAAAGGGTCATATTGATTGAAAAAGATCTAAAAGATACTGGATTTCATCAAAAATTAAACAAAAAAGGATTAAAATATTTCAATTTATTATTAAGTTATGAAAAAACGAACTTTTTCACACTATTCTAACGGTTGGAGATGCACTCGTACGTAATGCTTCGGCAGCTACGAAGGGCTTTACAGTATTTACACGATGACTTAAGAGCAGGAAATCTTTGTGAATACAGTGCCTTCAGTGTCACCATCAACTGTTAGACGGTACAGGACAAAGGTTATGCAACTTCCTGTTTGAAACTGCTGAGGTTGTGTCAACACAGAGGATTCCCAGCACACGAGAACTTTGCTCAGTTGCTGGAGAAAAATCACATTCAGTGACAGGGAAGAAGAAGAATTCTGACACTGATACCGAGTAAATTATAATTTCAGCTGTTTTTTATACAAACATGACGTTACCGAGGCAACACAAAACCCACATTCGATTAAATAAGCTGCTGGAATAGCAGCGGTATGATTTCACTCCTTCCAGTGTAAGATTTCGTTCTGATTAGGCGGCAAAGCTGCTTTTAATTTGCTCAAAAGTTAATTCTATTTGCATTTACTGGAATATATTTATCTGTCTCTCGGGGCTTTAGCTCATGAATGAACCTCCAAAACTAGATGTAAGAGCTATTTGTCCCGTTAATGATTTACCATTTGTTTTACATCCCAATAAATCTGGTTCACAGTCTTTGACATTAACTTTGTGATGCAAGAACGTCACTGTGGGGGTGAAAGTTTGCACATGAAAAGGATCAGCTGGATGAAGACTCATAGTGTTTTCTGTGCCACTAAACAAGCACAGCCTGCACCAGAAGCACCCCAAAGAGAAGTGTTGATGCATTAAATAACTCAGTATTTAAATATATCTGAAACTAATCAGGAACTCTAGAGTACTTTCTAACACCTACAACGATTTCTCTATAAAGCAGCAAACGTGCGAGTGTCTTACGTAAACCTGCAGGTGCCTTTGCCGTTACTCTCTGCAGGTCTGTCGTCTTGTTTGGATCGCTGTCATTCGGGACGTCTGGACAGGAGATGATCGCCGGGTTCTGCTCATTCTTCTCCGATGGGCTCTGCTTGAGCTGTCTCCGCCTTTTCAGCCTGACAGGACCAGAGAGAAACAAGTCGTTCATATCCTCGCTTTAAGTAGGAAAAAGGGTAGGGTGTTCGAGCGCCGCGACTATGACTGATCTGATGGCAGCTCTTTCTGACAGTGCGTCGTTTTTAAAAAATGTTTCATCTTTGTACCTTGTAACTCTGCTTTGAAAAGCGCTATAGAAATAAAGTTTATCACTTTATTTGCACACACACGCAGTTAAACCATTTAAAATACGGTGTAATGAAGCGTTTAGTGGAACATAAACCCCTCAGAATGTCCATTTCTGACACGTGGGGGGCTGGATGACAACAAAAACATCATTCCACATAGGAAGGGTTCCTCGAACTTTTTCCGTCAGTCACAATATCGTCACCATTTTATGTGAAACTACAACAATCTGTCATCACCAGACAGCACATACTTATTTTATTGTGTCTCTGTACAGGGTGCTGCCTTTGTTTCTTAAAATGAGCATCAAATTTGCTCTCTCCTTACTGTGCTGCGTCAGCTGCATTGTCTCCTCAGACTGCCCTTTCTCGCTGTTTAATCATTGATAGGTAAAGGAGTGATGCAATGCCGCCTCCAGACCCTGCTGGGGTTCGTTTAAGGGGGACACACTGCAGTGCATTGCAGTGGAACCACAGGTTAGTGGTGCACTTCAGGATAATGCGCGCTCTCTGAGTCCTGCGGAAACCTCAACAGAGGATGTGAGCATGTTAAGAAAAGAGCAAACGGATTTATCGAATGCTTTGAGGGATGGAGCGAGTACGGCCCCGTGCAAGGGCAGAGTGAAAGGACAACGCAAATGGGGCGTCCTAAGTGTTCGAGTGCGTTAATGGAGAGGAAAGATCGGGTCGATAAGCCTGCAGACAGACAGAGCTCAGGCCTCTCCCATAGTCTCAGCTCACTCTCCTGCTTTAAAAGATGCAGCAGACATCTGGTAGTGAACTCAAGAATCTGCATTCTCAACAGCACCATCTGTTTCACTCAGGGGCATTTCTGAGATCTCCCGATCGCCGCCGTCGCCCCTTCATCTCATCATCTACTGTTTAACCCTTCTGCTCTCCCTCATAACCCTCAGCTTGTAAACAGCTATTCCCAGATAGAAGACCAGATTACAAATAAAATAAAGCTGCTTCTCTTGGCTTGGCTTGATCGTGCTTTCACAGTGCTAACAACAGCTAATGAAACAACATACCTAGGAGACACTTATTAGAAACACCAGGATGATTACAGAGCAGTGTTTATCACAATGCTCACATTTAACAGTGTTTTATGAGCATATATAATAAAATAACTGATCTTAACACCCCTAAAGACAACAGACTCCTCTGGCAGCAGTAATCCGTCATTCTCTATGGGTTTATCTGTATCTGGCCAGTTTTTATTTGCAAAACTTGTCAAGCTTCATGCAGCTGCTAGACGAATGTAAGCGAACAGACTTATTCAAGTTGTGCCACAAATTCCCCAGTGGACTCATGTCTAGACTCAGACTGAAGAACTCTACAACTGCATGTTTTTAGGCCATTCCTCGAGAATGTTTACTTGTGTTTTGGTGGGAAAGAAACGTCCACGTAAACAGACAAATGCACCAAGAGAAATAAAAGGGCTTAAAGTGACAATATGACCAAAAGAAATAAGAGCTTAACAACACAATAAAAACAAACTGTTAAAACAGAACTTGACTACTCAGATAAAAGATAATAAAAGTGATGGAAGACAGCATTTTAAAACATAAATACAATTGTGAATAAAAGCCATTAATATTGGCAATAAATCATTTGAATAAAAAGCCAAACTGAAAAGCGAGGAAACAATGGCCGCAGGCTTAAACTCGTTAGTTCACCACAACAACAATTACTTCAGGTTGAGAGCCTCAGCGGTGGAGTCCTTCCTCGGAGTTAACATGAGCCTCTTGTTTGCTTCAGTCGCTGGTGTTTGTGTGCAGTCTGCTCTGGGGAAACTTACAGCTGCTGCCATGTTCCTTCAGTTATCTGTACCTGATGTACTTTGCGTTTATTTTAAGTGTTTTTTTTTCAATTGTCAGTGACCTTGTTTGTAACTTAAACGGTCTGCATTTTGTCAGATCTTTATACGATCTCTGGTTAATATATTCTGTGATGTCTAGGAACAGACCGGCGACCTGTGCACGGTGCCTTCGCCCTGAGTCGGCTGTGACAGGCTCCAGCTCCCCCCCAGCGACCCCACAGAGGATAAACCGGTGTATAGATAATGGATGTCCAGAAATATATTCAGTCATAAAAGCAGGAGAAAAATCAAGAGATAAATCTGGGTAAATGAGTGGAGAGACACGACGGATGCAGGTGCTTTCACACAATGCGTGATCATTCATGCTCTGTGGCTTGAATGCTTGAACAGCTCGAGTTGTTTCTGATTTTGCTTCAAGCTGACAAGAGGAATATATCTGAGGGACAGTGAGAGAGGGTTGATTGTTGGGGTGTAGATGGCAGGAGGTTCAGTCACAAACACTCCTCGGGTAGCTGGTGTTTCTACAGGAACATCTGCATTTAGAAAGACATGGCGGTCGACGAGGCTCGCGCATTAGAGTGGTGGGTAAGGTAAAGCAGAAGAGCGACTCTTCTTCTTTTGACCAAAAATGTCAATGCAGGATCGGACCGTCAGCAAGAAAAGCTGGTCAACAATTACACAACGAGGGCTGTAAGAGCAGGCAGCAGTGCATAAACCTCTCATTATAAAGATGAATGCACATTTAAGATTTCAGCGGTGCAAAAGCCAAACTCAGATGGTCAGCTGAGTCATCCTGCACCAGTTTTTTTAGACAAGCGAGTGAGGGGAGGTGTAAACAGCTCAGTAAACACTTCAGGACTGAATGCGTGACTGCTACAGGGAGGGGTTTCAGTGGCTCCGTTACGCCGTTTGGGGCATTTTGCAGTCGTAGTTTGGTCCACTTGTCTCCTTAGAGCATGGGTGGGGCAATCCTGGTCCTCGAGGGCCACAGTCCTGCATGTTTTAGATGTTTCCCTCTTCCAACACACCTGATTCAAATGATCAAGCTCGTTATCAGGCTTCTGCAGAGCTTGATGATGAGCTGATCATTGGAATCAGGTGTGTTGGAAGAGAGAAACATGCAGGATTGTGCCCCTCGAGGACCAGGATTGCCCCACCCCTGCCTGAGAGGAAAGGGCCACTGCAGATCAATACAGAGTTGTTTTGAGTGATCAACTTTATGATGGTGGTGGCCTCTTTGAGGATGACAATGGCCTCATCCATAGAGCACCAGGGGTCACCGAATGGTTTGATTAGGATGAAAAGGTGCTGCGGCCTTCGCAGCCACCAGATTTCAAGTCAGTTTGACAGGCGTGTTAAGACAGCGCTGTCCATCTCCATCATCAAATGAAGGAAAATCATTTGAGAAGACGGCTGTTTCATTCCTCCAGTAAAGCTCCAGAGACTTGTTCGGCCAGCATGTGGTGGCACGTTGGCATTCCACACTTTACTAAGACACATCATTCATTCCTTTAATTTACAACCTGTCACATTGATTACATTTAATATTTCTGCTCAACTCAAATCCGTTTTTTGACACTTGTTATCACGTGGAAACTTTCCTCGCCCTACTGAGGAGTGTGAACACAAAAAACAGTTCATGGCAGGTTAACATTTTTTCCTGGCACTGTGTGTGCGTGCCTCACAATGACCTTTGCTCTTCTAGCGAGGAAACGAGGCGGCACTAAGAGCGAGCAGCAGGGGGGATCCTCGTTATGGCAGAAGCTGTTCATTTCTGTTCCTGACATGTGCACTCTCTGTCCAAACAAGCCCAATATGGTCACTGGGCAGTCGGGTCCATAAGTATTAGGACAATGATATGACTTTCTAAGTATTGCTTTTGTACATAACCAACAACTAAAGCAATCAAGCAGACCTGTATTCTCACTAATTTGTGACAAATTAAGGTGACACAAGATTTGAAATTGACTCCTATGTTGCATTTGGTAGCTCCATAGACGTTTTGTTCCTAACGAAGGAGGCCATCATTAGGCTAAAAAACAAACCGACCTATCAGAGAGGTATCAGAACCTCTAGGAGATAGCAAACCAACAACTTGCCGTGTTCCTAAAAAGGAGGAATGCACTGGTGAGTTCAACAACACCAACAGGAAGACCACAGAAGAAAACTGAAGTGGACGATCGCAGCATTCTTTCCTCGGTGAAGAAAAACAACTGCGCAACATCTCGCCGAGTCAACAACCCTCTCAAGGAGGTGTGCGTATCGCTGCCAAAGTCTACAATTAAGAGATGCCCTCAAGCACGTAAACGCTGAGGGTTTACCTCAACATGTAAACCACTGTAACAGTCAATAAACAGAAAGGCCATATTAGGGTTTGCTAGAAATCAACTGCCAAGACCTGGAACAATATTCTCTTCAGACAAATGAAACCCAGATTAACTTGTACGAGGATAATGAGAAGAAAAGGAGAGAGACAGGAAGGGCTCCTGACGCAAAGCAGACCACATCATCTGTGAAACACTGAAGATAAGTGTTATGGCGCGGACATGCATGACTGCCAAAGGAGCTGATGTTTATTGATAGCAGTGATATAACAGGGTGAATTCTGGAGCGTAGAGATTTACTTTCGATTCACGTTAAGGCTGCAAAACTGACAGGATTTTCCTTCACAATACAGATGGATAATGGCCCAAAATATACCGCAAAGGCAACCCAAGCGCTTCTCAAGGCAAAGAAATGGAGTGCTATTAAAAGGTCGAGCCAGTCACCTGACTTTTCACTTACTGAAGATGAAACTGAGTGCAGAGAGACCCACAAACAAACAGCAACTGAAGGCAGCTGCAGTGAAGCCCTGCTAAAGCATCTCAAGGGAGGAAACTTGGCATATGGTGATATCCATGGCTTCCAGACCTCAGGCTGCCACTGACTGCAAAGGATTTGCATCCGGGTATTAAAAAGAATCCTCATATTTACAACTACGTTAGCTTGAGCAATTATTTTTGAGCCTGAAAAAATGGAGGAACCACAGTAAAAAATGCAATCCTATAACGTTTAGTGTAATATAAACCCCTTGAGTTAAAGCTGAAACTCAACACACCGCCACAAATCAAATGTGTGCAGACGCAAAGCTACAAAAACTGTAGCTGTACAAGTGCTTTTGGACCCGACTGTATTTTGCTGCTCACCAGCACAGATCTGCACGGTGCCTCTGGAGGAACACAACCTCTAACTCAAGTCAAAGCCTGCATCCTATTAGGATTTAATGCACTGCCTACCTAATAATTAGAGGCTGATTGGGTTGTGAAGCCAGTACAAGGTCATTTGTCTCCATAATATAATATTTGCTACATAAACGGATCAAAACTACTAAAAAAACCCACACATGATAAATGGCAGGTTTGCACCAGGATGTGAGTGCAGTAAGAACAAGTAACCCGAGACATAATGAGACAGAATAAGTGCTCTGCATTACATTCATGTTACATCACAAGAACCACACTTCATCCTGATGCTAACAGGACACTCTGCGGCTTATCCGAGACATCGTTTGCTTACCAAATATTTGGTACATGTTTTACCTAGAGGCCTGCATTTTGGCATAAGCAGCAATTTACCTATTTTTAGGAGTGAAACAACAGACTATGTTTTCCACCCTGTGATTTGTGCATCACAGGTCAGGCAAGGACAGGATAAATCAAGCTGAAGAAAAACTACAATCTGAAGAGTGGCTTGAGGCTTTTTAGACACATTCCAGCCGCAGCACACAGGAGCACACCATTAAATCTTGTTCATCCACTTTAATCAGTCCTTCATGCAGTCCGATGACACACCTCACCTGCTAAGACGTCACAGACCGAGCGCTGCCATTTGTTGATAACCTGCCAATTTCTGGGCAGTCTATACACCGTGATAAGCCTCTTTCCACACGTTATCCCGATATCATGTTTCCCAATGACGCCAAACTCCAATTTTGAAGTTAACATGGTCCCAGTGGACCAATGCCTGGGGGGACTCTGACGCATGGTTTGGATTATATAAGGTGGGTGCAGCTCAGAGACAGGTAACTTAACAGTGCCAAGATGTGAGTCAAAAGGCTGGGGATATATAATTAGTGAATGCACCTTATCATCAGAGGGTCAAAGCACAAATTATCACGAGGCACAATGGAGAAGTTGTACAGCACACTGTCACTTCTAACAAGCGATGACCTGCAAAAGACTTGTTTAAATAAAAATTTTACACACCAGCATGGGATCCCAGGGCTGAGGGACACCTGTTAAAACTGACCAGTCGGTGCTTTTAATTCATTGAATTTCATAGCAATCATAGTGATGATAGTTTTAGCTGACTGATTTTAAAAGGTGACAGGAACACATTTGGGGAGAACCCGGACACTGAGCAAAAACTGTGAATACGATGACAGCATTCCTGTGCAGCTAACAAATCAGCTTTGCCAGTATATCCAAGAGGCTGTTCAGCTCCTTCTCTGATGCATGTTCTGCATAAATGCTTGCATTGTTTTTACAAACCATTAAACATTTAGGTGTTGTGGTTTCTAGAGCCCGATGGTGTCATACGTTGTGCAGACTGCAAATTCCTCTTAGACAAACGCTTTGAATATTATCGGCTATGTGAATTTTATGGACTGGCTTTTAGAGCTGCAACAATCAATCAGATTTTAAAAGAAAATTCAAATGGATCTAAAAATAAAAGTTCTCTGGATCCAGCTTTTTAAATTTTTGTATTTTCTGGTTTGTTTTCTTGAAAAACACAGAATATCGCTGGGACAAAACAGGATATCAGAGGATGTCACTCAGACATTTTTCACCATTTTCTACATCAAACAACCAATGGATTAATACAGAAAACATTAGATGGATTTATCGATAATTAAAGTATTGTTTTTTGCAGCCCTACGAGCTTAATCTGGACAACTGGTCAAAAGCACAAACAAAACATGAAAAAAAAAGAATGAGGGCAAAATATCATAACAAATAAACAGTTATGCTGGACAGAATAAAGGACAAATATTTGCAAATGACTAAAATGGTAACACAAGTAAAACACAAATACAGAGGCCCTTACCTGGCAAAATATCCCGGCTTCCTGTCTCTCTTTTCCATCAGGCCAGGATCCTATATCAGCATGTATGTCAGTGCATCCATACAAACATCCACACACACAGACTCAGTGTGTCCAAGCCAGCAGACACAACTTGGGGAAGATCAGCTCTCACACTGTGCTCTTCCACTTCTTCCTTGTCCTGCAGGGGAGAGAAGCAAAGCGGATTAGCGAGCTCCCAGGGTGCCTCCTCATTCACCAGAGTGCAAAAGCCCAATAACCGATCGCGAAGCCCCATCAGCTTAAGTGGAGGGCGATGAAAGCATCCTATAATAAGCATGTCAGGTCAATCAGCTGACAATGGCAAACCAGAAGGGTGGAAAACGCATCACTCGGCCCATGGGGGAGAGGCACATCTGCTCCTAGTTAACGTTAGCACCGTAAACATGTGTTTTGTTATATAATGTAATCACAGCAGCCCGTCTATTATTAGCTGTATCGGTTTGGGGGGAATCCAGTTCAAGTAAACGTGCATACCATCATGGCAGCACCGAGATAAACGAAGCTAGCTGCAGGATTAAGTGGAAACGAAACCAACGCCGCGCACACAATAAAGAGCAGAAATTAGGAAAGTGCACTTCATCCACGGGTAGCCTGCAAATGTTATGTAACAGGTAAATGGCTAACCACCGGAGGAAGAGCTCGATGTGAGGACACGTTAGCTAAACTCTCAGTTAGTAGCAGAGCTCGCTCAATGGGAACTCCTCCGTCCACCGGCCAGCCTCTCCTTCACGGTGCAGCGATAACAAACACACACACGTATCCAGCTGCGCTAACGGTAAAACCGCCTCGGCTACCTCCGGCTGAACGCGGCCCCAGCGAGCAAGGTCCAGTCCTCCAGGTGACCACACCGCTGGTGCTAACGGTGCTAGCTAGCCACTTTGTTTACAAGACAATAGCAACCTGGCGGTGATGGTAAGGATGGTAATTCTTCCGCTCAGCCGCAGACTCGCTTTCTTCAAACGCGGCGTTCCTGCTCATTGAACCCTGACTAGCAGCCAGCGAGCGACGCGCAACGACGGCGTCCGACGCTGCATTTCACATAAAAAACAGGTAGCTGGAACCGACCACATACCTTGCGTGCATCCTCAAGCAGCTAATGCAACATGGAAATGAAGGTCCCTCCCTTTACAACGCCCTCTGGTGTCATGTGTGCTGTAAAAACACTCGCTCGTCGCGGCTCGTTGGTCACTTCCCGGCAAAGTTAGCTCACGTTAGCCATGTTTAGCTAGCTTAACTAGTGGCTTTTAGTCGATGTAAGTCCGCGCGGTCATAATTAATATCAGTAAATATCAGTAACATCGGGCAGTAGAGACTACAATTTGCGTGGGGATTCTATTGCTGTCAGCCTTCCCTGGTGGTCTAGTGGTTAGGATTCGGCGCTCTCACCGCCGCGGCCCGGGTTCGATTCCCGGTCAGGGAACTACTTTTTCTCCCTGAGCCGCCCGGTGAGTGTTGACACAGCAGACACCTTAAATATTCCTACGCCACAGACTGGTGGCGCGCGCTGCGGTAACCATGGCAACGACACCCTTCAGCTCTCTGTTGTCAGAGAGACGCATTTAATTTGTTTTTATAAAAAAGCTTCAAAAAATAATAATATTTCAAAAAACAATAATACAAAATGAATAAGAAGAAAGGCCGCTCAGAGGGAATCCAGGAAATCCTTGGATTTGTTGGGGTTTTATGTATATTTTTGTGAATTAATAATTGAATCCACAGAATTCATAATGTTATAAAGTCTGAGCTGTAATATTTTAATTAGTTAGGTTAATCTTCATAATTAGCTGATAATACTGCAGGCTCTTAGCCTTTCTAATATTCAGGAACGGTAGTATTTCATTTAGTTTTTTGTGGGGTTTTAATCCTTCATAATTCAATAATTTGGGTAAATTCCCATCATAAATCACACCGTATGGTCTTAACCTCAACATATAAACTGGTTAGGTTAACTGGTAACCCCACTCTTAATTCTCTCCTGGATGCACTTTGGCTCAGCAGCCTTTGTTCTAAATGTTTTACATGATAAGAAATAACAGTGACTTGACTTTTTCCTTTTATCCACCTCATCAGAAACATATTTTAATACAACATTCTCCTCATGATGGCAAAAGATTATATCTATACTGTTATTAATTAAATACAATTGGGCTTCAACATTTTACTTTTCTGTTGTTTTTTTAAAATTGAAGTTATGAAATGGTAGGCAGCATCGTTTAATTGCTGTCACTGAAAACAAAATATATCTTGAATATGTGTGTCTTGAACATTGTATTTGTTCTCAGGTTATCTCCTGCAGTAGATGTTTGTTTTAGAAATTTGCTTGCAACTTAGTTTAAATTAGAATTTACTTTTTTTTTTTTTATGTAATATTCTACCCTAAACTAATTTTTGTAGTATGTAAATTTTTTGCTTTCTTTATCATGTAACCAAGGTTAAATTTCAGAGGAAATGCAGAGGATACATCTCCCACAGAATTATTTTTATTTTGAAAATCACCGTGTGTGTTGACTCAGCAGAGCTCATTCTAAAAGAGAAAAGTGAATCTAAAAAAGAATCAGTATTTGCAGATGAATACTGAATGCCTGTCAGACTTACTGTCATATATAATCCTTTATGTTTTTAATTTTTCCCTGTTGCCTGAATGTTTTTCTTTCCATAAATAAAGATATTTACCATAAATTGATGCAGAAAATTTCACTAATTGTTGAATAAAAAATCACCAGAATGCACTAAACAAAGGCCATGTGTCCTTCTCACTGGTTGAATGACCATGCATGTCACCTCCTGAAGCTCAGACAGACACTAAACTTGATTTTGCCACCAACTGACAACCTCTGGGGCAGTTTTTTAAATATCCCACTAGGTGGCAACACTTTACAGCAAATGGTCCTGGTCTGTGAACTGAAGAAAAGGGTCGATATCAGCCCAAAGACAAAAGATACAGATTAAAACAGCCTCTGCCCTCAGAGTACAGAGACTTACATGAGCTTTCTTCATTTATCTTCTTTGAAAATCAAATAAAAGAGCAAATGACATTCAAACCAGCATGCTAGAGAGGTACAAATTAGATGCATTTATTCTTTATTTTCTTAAGTTAGTGCACACAGCTACCTGGTTTTAACTTTAAACTGAACGTAGCTGGGTTGTTTTTTCTATTATTCCTTCTAGTAAAGCTTCGACCGTGTTGAATCAAAGTTTTTTGAAGTACATAAAGGCAATGAGACAGAGATAATGAGCGTTTGTGGCCCCAGAAGGCCCCCCTAAGGTGGGGGAAAGACAGAGACGCTGTGATTGGACGGCCCACCAGTTAACCAGTTCCTGGCCGGCTGTGTATCTTGGCAGTTATTTTGACAGGCGCTATCATTGTGAGAGAGGAGATAAGTTGTCTTAGGGATCGCCATGGCGCCGGTGTGTCCCTCCTCCGGCCTGTTCAGACTCTCATCAACCACCCCTCCTCCCCTCCCCTCCCCTCCCCTCCTCACCGTGCTCGGAGCAAAGGATTGTGGGGGGGCGGCTTGGGTTTGTGTTGGCAGAGGCCCTGTGGCTCTGGGTATCATCGTCCCCTTTCAAGCCCATCAGAACCTCCGTGTGACTCAGAAGCAGCTCAGAATGTCGCTCACGGCCTCCTTGCTTTCTGTAAATGCTGTAAATGCACTTTTTACCACAAGCTGTACCTGAATTTCTACGTTTCCCTCCCAGGCCAGACGTTGGACAGACGGAGGGGGAGACCACGCTGAGGCAGGCAGAGCTGCACATTGTCGCAGAACTTTAAGCACTAAAAAAAAGCCAAGGATGAGCTCCAGTAAACTTTTGACTCTCTACGGAGTAATGTTTTCAAGATGTGCCTCCCAGACGGAGCTATAATATGACTCAAAGTCCGTCAAACCTCTCCTGCCTCTGGTCTCCCCGTCATATAAGATCTGTGCAGGTTGTTTCATTTCAGCCTCCGATATGAGATCTTTTACTGGGCTCTTCCATCACTGCAGCTCGGCAGCATTACAGTGACTGTTTTTGTGTTAGTATTACTTCAAAGTTCGTGGCTCACACGGCAGGATAAACTAAAAGACGAAGCAGATTTTCAGAAACAGCAGCGACTACAATCCTTCCTCATTTTATTCAGTGTTTTGTTTTGCCAAGTCAGCGCAAACACAGATGACATCTCGCTGCTATCTTTCTAAACTCTTGTCTGAAGCAGCACAGGCCTTGGAGAGATTTAAAATCATTTCGCTCCGACGTCACACTGCGAGCTTTGACTACGAGCACTGATAACTTCAAGTACACCGTGGCAGCAAGAAGACGGTAAACCTAAACACCGCAAAAAGGATATGTCACACAAACGATAAGTGGAAGTGAATACGGGGGTAATAATTCATTATAATGAACCAAAATGTGTAGAGAAAACATTAAAAATGTTGCTTTATTTTTGAAAAATGTTGGCTTTTATCTGTGTGTTTACAGGGAGATGCCCACAGAATGTTGGGCAATAAACCAATTAGGACAAGAAATCGTTAAACTGAGTTGTCAGTGATGAAGCTAGACAAGCGTTTGAATAAATAGAAAGGCTCAGAGTGTGTTCTCTTTCTATTATTCAACTATTTGTTTAACTAATACATAGTAGGGACCCCAAAAAAATATAAAGAAAAAATGCTAGAGCCTATAAAAGCAGATAAATGTGTATGTTTTGCAGCAGTAGAGGCTGACGATAAAATGTTTGAGTTATGATTTTAAACTAATCTGGGATCATGACTGAGAGCCTGTTGTGCCCTTAACGCGCTAATGATTAAGTTTTGTTTACCGTAGATATGATCACTAATTTAACATGGGCTGAACCACTCACACTATTACTTATGTAAGATTTATTTAACCATGTTTTCGACCAGTGTCTGCCAAGTGTAACAGCTGCGCCGCTAAGTGAATGAAACGATATGAAGATAAGGTTAGCTGGTTAAAATTTTACCCTTTCAAGGTAAAGACTGCAGGAGAAAGTAAGACCAGCACATGTAGTTAAAATACCGCTTAACAGCAATATAAACTATTTCAATTAAACTTTACAAAAACAACACAATATATATGTAATTACACTGCCATAAATGTAGCCGACCTCATGACAGAATATCTATTTGCTATCGGATATTAGCAAACAGATGTTAGCAATGACTTAGCAATCCATTTACACGTCAGTAAAGTCGTGTTTTAAGGTATAGTTTTGGAAAATATGCTTATTTATTTTCTTGGTGGGATGATAAGACGGATACAACTGTCATGTTTGTGTGGGAATTATGACGGTAGCGCCAGTAGCTTAGCATCAACAGTGGGGAACAGCTATTAAAGATGCCGTTAAAAACACACACACACACACACAACACTTGATTAAAATGCAGTTTAATCGTTTTAAATTACATTTAGCAAAAAATACAATCACATTTCAAAACTTTATTCCAATAACTTACTAAATGAACGAACAACATGGTTACCAAAAAGATGTTAGCAAACAGATGTTAGCGACAATATCGAAATCCGTTTTTAAGTAAAAGGTTTTGGGAAATATGTTTTTTTTACTTTCTTGGTGGGATTATGACACATAACGGTTGTACGGCAATTGTGAAGCTGCTGCCAGTATCCACGTAGCTTAGCTTAGCATTAAGATTGGTGGAATCAACTATCAAAACTGAAGTTTTTTCAAAAAGCGGTTGTTTTAAATGCAGTTTAATTACAATGTTAACTATGTGAACAACGTGGCAATCACTTTTTACATTTTTTAAAGTCCTGTTTTAAAAGAAAACTTTTGGGAAATATGCTTTTTTTTTTTTTTTCCTAAATGAGATGAGAAGAACTCTCTCATGTTTGTATGGTTATTATGCTGTTAGCTTAGCTTAGTATAAAGCATTGTGCACGTCCATAAAAATTAAAAGAAAGTGCACAAAACTTAATTACTGTTCAATAACAACATACATTTTTTAAATTGAA